ATATATATATATATATTCGTATAAGCTGTCATTTGCAATTTGCTTAAACCAAGACTCCATTTGTTTTTCTAGCTGTCCAGGGGATACGCAGCAGGCATCTTATGAACCACAACTCTATCGCCCCATTTGTTCCATCCAGCTGTCTATTGGTTGTCCCTGCTTCGCACCCGTATAATAGGATTGGCTCGATGTAACTTTTCTGTACTCTTTTTCTTGCTTCCAGTGACAGGTTGATGTTTGTAAGTATGTTTCGTTTTGTGGAAGGTTGCTTTTGCTGGGCAAATGCGGCTTTTGATTTCGGTGTGACATCTCCCATCTGATGATATAATTGTCCCCAATTTTCCTTATGTGAGCAATGTCTTGATGGCGATCTGGTGACACCAGCTGAGCATGACTGGCCCTACCGAATGAGGCAGTTCTTGCAGAGCTCCCCTTTACATCATCTTCATTGATTGAGCGTAGATCCATGACGTTCTTGAGAAAAATACAGCAGTTGTTTCCCCTTGCCTTCTGCTGGATTTTTGTAAGGTTTACTCAGCTGGCCTTTGTCCAAAAGGACTAGCCCAGAAGGCAGAGGGGGGAGGGGGCAGGTTTCGGCGCCTCCCTCTCGCCTGACAATCTCTTTACTGAGCACATGAGGTATTTTATAGAGACAACGTTGCCACCACCCTGTCCCACCTCGCTCTGCAAGACTGTCGACAGTTGGTCCGCATAAATTGGTTATTGGCAGCTACCCTACAAAATATACACCGTTCCACTAGATTCTATCCGCCTTTTTAGGATATACTCAATTTTTAAAAAAATTAGGAGATGCTCGATTACAAGATTTATACGGGGTAATAAATTGAAAGATTGTTGGAACTACTCGAGTAAAAGATTTTTTTTAAAGGCTACTCTTATTCGGGACTCAAACTTTCGTCTTTTATTTGCGGTGGAAAAGTAACTATCATCTCACCGTAAACTCAAGTATGTGGGCACACAAAAAATCATCATCATCATCATCATCATCATCATCATCATCATCATCATCATCATCAT